GCAATGACCGTGAGACCCACCTGCTGCAATGACCGTGAGACACACCTGCTGCAATGACCGTGAGACACACCTGCTGCAATGACCGTGAGACACACCTGCTGCAATGACCGTGAGACCCACCTGCTGCAATGACCGTGAGACACACCTGCTGCAATGACCGTGAGACACACCTGCTGCAATGACCGTGAGACACACCTGCTGCAATGACCGTGAGACCCACCTGCTGCAATGACCGTGAGACACACCTGCTGCAATGACCGTGAGACACACCTGCTGCAATGACCGTGAGACCCACCTGTTGCAATGACCGTGAGACCCACCTGCTGCAATGACCGTGAGACACACCTGCTGCAATGACCGTGAGACACACCTGCTGCAATGACCGCGAGACACACCTGCTGCAATGACCGCGAGACACACCTGCTGCAATGACCGTGAGACACACCTGCTGCAATGACCGTGAGACCCACCTGCTGCAATGACCGTGAGACCCACCTGCTGCAATGACCGTGAGACACACCTGCTGCAATGACCGTGAGACCCACCTGCTGCAATGACCGTGAGACACACCTGCTGCAATGACCGTGAGACCCACCTGCTGCAATGACCGTGAGACCCACCTGCTGCAATGACCGTGAGACACACCTGCTGCAATGACCGTGAGACACACCTGCTGCAATGACCGTGAGACACACCTGCTGCAATGACCGTGAGACACACCTGCTGCAATGACCGTGAGACCCACCTGCTGCAATGACCGTGAGACACACCTGCTGCAATGACCGTGAGACACACCTGCTGCAATGACCGTGAGACCCACCTGCTGCAATGACCGTGAGACCCACCTGCTGCAATGACCGTGAGACACACCTGCTGCAATGACCGTGAGACACACCTGCTGCAATGACCGTGAGACCCACCTGCTGCAATGACCGTGAGACCCACCTGCTGCAATGACCGTGAGACACACCTGCTGCAATGACCGTGAGACCCACCTGCTGCAATGACCGTGAGACCCACCTGCTGCAATGACCGTGAGACCCACCTGCTGCAATGACCGTGAGACCCACCTGCTGCAATGACCGTGAGACCCACCTGCTGCAATGACCGTGAGACCCACCTGCTGCAATGACCGTGAGACACACCTGCTGCAATGACCGTGAGACCCACCTGCTGCAATGACCGTGAGACCCACCTGCTGCAATGACCGTGAGACCCACCTGCTGCAATGACCGTGAGACCCACCTGCTGCAATGACCGTGAGACACACCTGCTGCAATGACCGTGAGACCCACCTGCTGCAATGACCGTGAGACCCACCTGCTGCAATGACCGTGAGACACACCTGCTGCAATGACCGTGAGACACACCTGCTGCAATGACCGTGAGACCCACCTGCTGCAATGACCGTGAGACACACCTGCTGCAATGACCGTGAGACACGCCTGCTGCAATGACCGTGAGACACACCTGCTGCAATGACCGTGAGACACACCTGCTGCAATGACCGTGAGACACACCTGCTGCAATGACCGTGAGACCCACCTGCTGCAATGACCGTGAGACACACCTGCTGCAATGACCGTGAGACACACCTGCTGCAATGACCGTGAGACACACCTGCTGCAATGACCGTGAGACCCACCTGCTGCAATGACCGTGAGACACACCTGCTGCAATGACCGTGAGACACACCTGCTGCAATGACCGTGAGACCCACCTGCTGCAATGACCGTGAGACCCACCTGCTGCAATGACCGTGAGACACACCTGCTGCAATGACCGTGAGACACACCTGCTGCAATGACCGTGAGACACACCTGCTGCAATGACCGTGAGACACACCTGCTGCAATGACCGTGAGACACACCTGCTGCAATGACCGTGAGACCCACCTGCTGCAATGACCGTGAGACCCACCTGCTGCAATGACCGTGAGACACACCTGCTGCAATGACCGTGAGACCCACCTGCTGCAATGACCGTGAGACACACCTGCTGCAATGACCGTGAGACACACCTGCTGCAATGACCGTGAGACCCACCTGCTGCAATGACCGTGAGACACACCTGCTGCAATGACCGTGAGACACACCTGCTGCAATGACCGTGAGACACACCTGCTGCAATGACCGTGAGACCCACCTGCTGCAATGACCGTGAGACACACCTGCTGCAATGACCGTGAGACACACCTGCTGCAATGACCGTGAGACCCACCTGCTGCAATGACCGTGAGACCCACCTGCTGCAATGACCGTGAGACCCACCTGCTGCAATGACCGTGAGACACACCTGCTGCAATGACCGTGAGACACACCTGCTGCAATGACCGTGAGACACACCTGCTGCAATGACCGTGAGACACACCTGCTGCAATGACCGTGAGACACACCTGCTGCAATGACCGTGAGACACACCTGCTGCAATGACCGTGAGACACACCTGCTGCAATGACCGTGAGACACGCCTGCTGCAATGACCGTGAGACCCACCTGCTGCAATGACCGTGAGACACACCTGCTGCAATGACCGTGAGACACACCTGCTGCAATGACCGTGAGACACACCTGCTGCAATGACCGTGAGACCCACCTGCTGCAATGACCGTGAGACACACCTGCTGCAATGACCGTGAGACACACCTGCTGCAATGACCGTGAGACCCACCTGCTGCAATGACCGTGAGACCCACCTGCTGCAATGACCGTGAGACACACCTGCTGCAATGACCGTGAGACACACCTGCTGCAATGACCGTGAGACACACCTGCTGCAATGACCGTGAGACACACCTGCTGCAATGACCGTGAGACACACCTGCTGCAATGACCGTGAGACACACCTGCTGCAATGACCGTGAGACACACCTGCTGCAATGACCGTGAGACACACCTGCTGCAATGACCGTGAGACACGCCTGCTGCAATGACCGTGAGACCCACCTGCTGCAATGACCGTGAGACACACCTGCTGCAATGACCGTGAGACACACCTGCTGCAATGACCGTGAGACACACCTGCTGCAATGACCGTGAGACCCACCTGCTGCAATGACCGTGAGACACACCTGCTGCAATGACCGTGAGACACACCTGCTGCAATGACCGTGAGACCCACCTGCTGCAATGACCGTGAGACACACCTGCTGCAATGACCGTGAGACACACCTGCTGCAATGACCGTGAGACCCACCTGCTGCAATGACCGTGAGACCCACCTGCTGCAATGACCGTGAGACACACCTGCTGCAATGACCGTGAGACACACCTGCTGCAATGACCGTGAGACACACCTGCTGCAATGACCGTGAGACACACCTGCTGCAATGACCGTGAGACCCACCTGCTGCAATGACCGTGAGACCCACCTGCTGCAATGACCGTGAGACACACCTGCTGCAATGACCGTGAGACCCACCTGCTGCAATGACCGTGAGACCCACCTGCTGCAATGACCGTGAGACACACCTGCTGCAATGACCGTGAGACACACCTGCTGCAATGACCGTGAGACACACCTGCTGCAATGACCGTGAGACACACCTGCTGCAATGACCGTGAGACACACCTGCTGCAATGACCGTGAGATACACCTGCTGCAATGACCGTGAGACACGCCTGCTGCAATGACCGTGAGACCCACCTGCTGCAATGACCGTGAGACACACCTGCTGCAATGACCGTGAGACACACCTGCTGCAATGACCGTGAGACACACCTGCTGCAATGACCGTGAGACCCACCTGCTGCAATGACCGTGAGACACACCTGCTGCAATGACCGTGAGACACACCTGCTGCAATGACCGTGAGACCCACCTGCTGCAATGACCGTGAGACCCACCTGCTGCAATGACCGTGAGACACACCTGCTGCAATGACCGTGAGACACACCTGCTGCAATGACCGTGAGACACACCTGCTGCAATGACCGTGAGACACACCTGCTGCAATGACCGTGAGACACACCTGCTGCAATGACCGTGAGACACACCTGCTGCAATGACCGTGAGACACACCTGCTGCAATGACCGTGAGACCCACCTGCTGCAATGACCGTGAGACACACCTGCTGCAATGACCGTGAGACCCACCTGCTGCAATGACCGTGAGACACACCTGCTGCAATGACCGTGAGACACACCTGCTGCAATGACCGTGAGACCCACCTGCTGCAATGACCGTGAGACACACCTGCTGCAATGACCGTGAGACCCACCTGCTGCAATGACCGTGAGACACACCTGCTGCAATGACCGTGAGACACACCTGCTGCAATGACCGTGAGACCCACCTGCTGCAATGACCGTGAGACCCACCTGCTGCAATGACCGTGAGACACACCTGCTGCAATGACCGTGAGACCCACCTGCTGCAATGACCGTGAGACACACCTGCTGCAATGACCGTGAGACACACCTGCTGCAATGACCGTGAGACACACCTGCTGCAATGACCGTGAGACACACCTGCTGCAATGACCGTGAGACACACCTGCTGCAATGACCGTGAGACCCACCTGCTGCAATGACCGTGAGACCCACCTGCTGCAATGACCGTGAGACACACCTGCTGCAATGACCGTGAGACACACCTGCTGCAATGACCGTGAGACACACCTGCTGCAATGACCGTGAGACCCACCTGCTGCAATGACCGTGAGACACACCTGCTGCAATGACCGTGAGACCCACCTGCTGCAATGACCGTGAGACACACCTGCTGCAATGACCGTGAGACACACCTGCTGCAATGACCGTGAGACACACCTGCTGCAATGACCGTGAGACACACCTGCTGCAATGACCGTGAGACACACCTGGTTGAAGAGCTCTGCGAGGCACGTGAGGAGCGTCTCCTTGGACTCGTTGGCTGGCTTGTGCTTGGCGTGGTAGTCCAGCAGAGGACTGAAGCACCCTGGGTGGGAATGAGGCGTACCTGGGGAACATGCAAGGCGCAGGCAGAGCTCACCTGGTGGTGCGCTGAGAGTGAGACACACCTGGTTGAAGAGCTCTGCGAGGCACGTGAGGAGCGTCTCTTCGGACTCATTGGCGGGCTTGTGCTTGGCGTGGTAGTCCAGCAGGTGCTCGCGGAAGGGCACACAGAAGTAGAGCGCCTGGAGTGGGTCATGGGGTGTGCCGTGTGGTGTTGTGTGGTGTAGTGCGGTGTAGTGTGGTGTAGTGTAGTGAATGAGTGTGATGTAGTGAGGTGTGGCGTGGTGGTAATATAGAGCACACACAGATGAGAACGGAATTTCTGGAAAGCTTTTTGGGATTGTGCCTAAACTAATCGCACCAACAAGCACAAAAAATCATCTAAAAGCGCAAACCCCACATTGTTGACCCACCCGCGGCACGCTGTTACAGTAGCACATGTTGCCAAAGTTCTCGAGACCAAAGTACCTCTCTCCCTCGGGAAACGCATCCCCGAGCAACCACCCTAATAGCACCTACAGTGTTGACTCATCACCTGCAGCACGCTGTTACAGTAGCACGTGTTGCCGAAGTTCTCAAGGCCAAAGTACCTCTCCCCTTGGGAAACGCCCGAACCACCTACCAAATATCACCCAAGCTCCTCTGCAACCCGCCGTGCGACCCACCTGCAGCACCTACTCGCACCCATTACGTTGACTCACCTGTAGCACGCTGTTACAGTAGCACGTGTTGCCGAAATTCTCAAGGCCAAAGTACCTCTCCCCCTCAGGAAACGCATCTCCCAGCGCGCGCTCTAGCTTCGACCCCGACCCCCCAATGATGGTGTTGAACACCTGAGGGTGGGGAGGAGAGGGGTTCACATCACACACACATGGCAACAAAGTTCGTGCATACGCTCGCGGCTCGCGTGCTCCACCAGCTTGAACCCCGACCCCCCAATGATGGTGTTGAACACCTGAGGGTGGGGAGCAGAAAGGGGGTTCGATAGGGTAAAGGGAGGTCGAACACCTGCTTTCCATAAACAAACAATGATGGTCTTATTGTTGAGCACCTGCAAGGGAGGGTGGAACGATTAACGGAGTCAGGGTTCGCATCTCCCAGTGCGCGCTCCAGCTTGGACCCCGACCCTCGATGATGGTGTTGAATATCTGAGGGTGGGGTGGGGAGCAGAAAGGGGGTTCGATATAATAAATAAAAAGAGTCAACACCTGATGTCCACAGACAAACGAATGAATCAGAATTCGCACCTCCCAGCACGCGCTCCAACTTGGAACCCCACCCCCCATTGCAGGGATTTTTTAAGAATTCTCAAAAGACCCCCACCTCCAAATGATGGTGCTGATGTTGAACACCTGCGAGGGAGGGAGGTGGAACGATGAACGGGGTTCAATAAAGGTGGTGCGCCTTCAAAGGAACCTCAAGATCTTCACTTGTCTCGCGGTTTTAAGCTCTCCCAGGAGCTGCTCACATTCACCCGTGCCAGCGTGATGCGCGCTGTGCAGCGAAACAGGACTCGCAAGTAGACGAAAAGGTATACCAAGCCTGAAAAGGCCGGGAAAAGGTCCTCGATCCGACTTCTGAGGTCTCACACATAGTAGTGATGCCCTCTCCCAATCACTCTAGCCGCTCACACTCACTCTGGCCAGCATGATGCGGGCTGTGCGGCGAACCAGGACGCGCAGGTAGACGAAAAGGTACAATAGGCCTGAAAAGGCCGGAAACAGGCCCTCGATCCGACTTTTAAGACATCTCAGCAATAGTCATGATTCAAGATGCTGCCTCACACTCACCCTGGCTAGCATGATGCGGGCTGTGCGGCAAACCGACGCGCAAGTAGACGAAAAGGTATACCAAGCCTGAAAAGGCCGGGAAAAGGCCCTCGATCCGACTTCTGAGGTCTCACACATAGTAGTGATGCCCTCTCCCAATCACTCTAGCCGCTCACACTCACCCTGGCCAGCATGATGCGGGCTGTGCGGCGAACCAAGACGCGCAGGTAGACGAAAAGGTACACCAGGCCTGAAAAGGCCGGGAAAAGACCCTCGATCCGCTCCGTCGCACCCGCCGCACTCGCCGCCAAGAGGTGCCAAAGGCTTGAAAGGGAGAGGTACAGGCGGCGGCTTGGGGAGTCCGGAATAATGGCGTCAATTTCGTCCGGCGCGACGAGCGCCAACCCGGGATTCGTATGAAAAAGGTGGGCTATTTCTACGGCTGAGACGAACAGTTTTGAGGAGCCTCGAAGGGTGGGATATATCTACGGCTGAGAAGAGCAATTACAACCAAGCGAACTCGCGTCGTCAGTGCCCAGCCGAGTCTCTTGCAGAAAGAGCGAGAGAATTCTATCGCGTTTCTGTGCCAAGATTCCGCCAAGATTCGTGGAGCCTGATCGGATACCGCACGTGGCAAAGGTGCCAGCGTTGTGACACGTGGACTCTGCTGCCTAGGTAGGATGTATCTATGGAGCGCAAGGTTACTGCAGGTTGAATTTCTCTGTGTCAATTCGTGCTTGCACGAATCCCTGGGTGCTCACAGAATTTCTTGCCAGAATCAGTAGCGCTTCTGTCGGTCAACGGGGAGAAACACAACGTTGCCTCCTTCTAACGAACGCAAAGCGCACACGAAAAAGACGTCTGCACCTTACTACACGATAACAGGCGGAATTAATCGTGCGCTTGAGGGGACACTACGATAACAAAAGGGCGAGTCATGAATCGTGTGCCTGACAGGAGAGCCAAAAACGTCGAGACGAGAGGCCTGGCAAAAAAAACTTATCATGTCCTAAAAACGCGTCGCATAACTCGCCTCGCGGTGCACGCTGGCAAGAATTCAGGCGTTTGCTAACTCGCCGTGTGGGATTTCTAGTGGTGTTGTTTATGTACCTGCGAGTGGATTCCTAGACTGCGCGTATGCATGCTACTGCTGCTGGTGGTGGTTCTGGTCGTCGAATATGGGGATTGCCGAAGATGCGGTAACAAATACCTCGTTGACAGGTTCGGTACGTCAACACTTATGCTACAAGAAAATTTTAGAAAAACAAGCCCATATGTTCTAATCGAAGATGAAGGATCAGATCAGAGCCTTAGAGGGCCTTATTAATATTTGTACAGGATTCTCCTAGTTTGGTTAGCCTAATATACAAATATAATGAACGGCTACATCCTACCATACGTCAATCAAAGAAGGTTCGAACTTGCACCATCTTGTTAAAGCGCACACGGCGTTCACTCCTGGGCGATGGAGAAGGCAAGGACCTGCTTGCATAGCAGGTGCTGCCAGCAGGGATGGCAATCGGCTGACTTGGCGTTCTTGAGGCCAAGCTCTTGCCATTCCCCAAGCAGCTTTTTTTGTTGCTTCCGTTGCTTGTACCCGATCTAGAGGTAGGTTTCGATGGTGACGGCAGAGAGACGGGTTTAGAATGTGACAGCAGGGACAGAGATGGCGGAGACGAGGGAGGAGGAGACAAGGGGGGAGGAGACAAGGAGGGAGGAGACAAGGGAGGACGACAGAGGGGTTTTGACGGCGACGAGGAGGCAGAGGAGGCAGAGGAGGCGGAGGAGGCGGAGGAGGCAGAGGAGGCAGAGGAGGCGGAGGTGAGAGCACCGCGAGGCGACTTCAGGGAGATTGTACCCGCATCGCGTTGAGACTGTTTCCCGGCAGAGTATGCTCCTCGTAACCCGTGCGGTGACTGTATGGCCATGTAGGCTCGTGGGAAGGGCGGCGAGGACGAGAGAGTCACTGCAGAGACCCGCGTCATTATACCGCTCTGGTTCATCATGGTGTTGTTCTGCCCCGCCGCTTCAAAATGCTCCATTACTGCTTCTACTGACCGCGTGCGCCGGTGCCGGGCCAGGCGCCGTCGAACCATGGTTTCGGAGCCATGGCTCTGACTTCGCGGCCACGTGCCTTCGGAATCCGAAGGCTGATCTCGCCGCGCCATGGTTTCGGGGCCGTGAGTCTGGCTTCTTGGCCACGTGGCTTCAGCAGCAGCAGTAGGAGGGGCAACAGCAGCGGCAGCAGCCGCAGGGGGTACAGAATATTGCGCTGCAGCCGCGGACGATGACACAGCAACAGCAGCAGAAGTAGCCGCAGCCGCAACTGTAGCCGCAACTGAAGATGGGCGCGCCACGCGTGGAGAATAACCAATATCCCCCAAGGAACCATCAAAAGCAGCATCCAGGGGCTCCGGTAGTGTGTCATGAACTCTGCACTGCCCCGGAAGCTCTTGAAAGCCGCTGAACGAGTGCCAGCGGCGGTGGCGGAACCCGAGCGCCGCGCTGGTGCCTTCGCGCGGGCTGCGCGGAGGCGTGGGGCGGAGAAATGTCCCCGCGCCAGCGCCTTCCGCGTCAGCCGCGGCGGCTCTTGAAGCATGCACGCAGGGAGGGGATTTTCGCGCGCCTGGATCGCTGAAAAAACGAGGCATCGCGACCGTCGACGCCAGTTCTTCCGACGGATCTAGGCCGTCGATTCGGACTGCAGGTGGGGAGAACGAGCCGCACGCGTTGTAGCGACGAGCGGATGACGGCGCGACTGCAAGCATGGCTGCTCAGCTTGAACGCGACGCGTCGGACGTGGTAGTAATAGTGCGAGTGAAGGGGAGACGACACGGAGTCCCAGGTCGAGCCTCGAGCCTTCAGGCCTTGCGGAACCAATGCCACTGGTGGTAACAGTGTAACGTCGCACTAATTTCGAGGCGCCTCAAAAGTCGTAGTGGCACTGCTAGTAGCAGCACTCGGAGAAAAGCTTCCACGAGTATTACAGAAACCGCCGACTTGGTAAGACGACGGTTAGGAAAACGGTAACATCCAGGTATGGAACCGCGCGGGAGAAGAGAGTTTCCAGGGTGAATAGAACTAAGCAGCGAGTTAGTAGGATCTTGGTAAACAAGAATGCAGGAGTAGCTGGTTCTGTGTTCCCCTTTGTACATCGATCCGTCGCTTCGAGGTCAACCCCGTGCTGCGAAATAACCGCTGCAGTGCGGAACGAACATTCTAAGAGGCCCGAACGACCCGAACCGGCGGAGCGTCCGATGCCCGAAAGGGGGGAAGGCCATTTCCCACTCTCCGCAAGAGATCCCCCCTCGCCGCCCGAACCGCAAACGTCGGATCGGAGGCCCGAAAGGCGGCGGGAAGGTTATCCCGCACTCGCCTCGGGATCCCCCCCCTCGCAGCAGAACAGCGAAGAG